TAAAGTCAGTTCATATTGTATATTTCACCTTGGGGTGTCTAGGTTGACTAGACTTAGACTTAACCTTTGAGTTTTGCTAGTATGCATGGAAAATACTATAATAATACTATAATAATGGATTATACGAGTATATTGAATGCTAAGTGACATTTACTCTATTCTGTATTTGATACACTGGTTAGTAAATAGCATTAGATACCCTCTGACTGTTTGACTAGCCAAATAAAGTTCACATATCATGACATGATACCAATGACCTATACCTTATAGGTAACCTATATAACCTATAAAGAAATTGGATAGATCAGTTTACTATATAATGAAATTGCTAATGGAATCATCGGTACAGAAACTAAGCGACTTTTTTTTGCAGATAATGTAACGCTTATTATTATTATTTTAAGAGCACTCACTGTGCATGTTGATAAAAACTTCTTAACATGTATGTATGAAACATAATATATAAATTCCCTTCGTCAGAGCAGATATCTTCAAGGGTATTTCATTTGCGGCGTAGCTTAGACTTTTTGCCGCTTTTTGCATTTTAAAGTGTGAAATTTAATTGCTTTTTGGGGTTTTATTCTGTTTTCCTTTTTTTTTTTTTTTTTTTTTTTTTAATATGTTAGCTTGGCGAATTTTCCGTTGGCGAATGTGTCAAAAATGTTTGTCGTCTACAAATTTGAAAATTGCATTCGAGCAGCAACAACAATAACAATAACAACAACTGTAATAGTAACAGTAGCAACAGCAGAGCCAACAAAAATATAAGGGAAAATCGAATACGAAATAAAATTCACGCAATGCAGCAAAAGATTTATACGCGTGTGTGTGTTTTGTGCATATGTGTGCGTGCTTAGCTACAATATTTTGCTTTTAAGCTTGGGATTCTAGAGTTTTATTGTCTTTCCGTGCATACAGAGTCGGCTCACCCCCGCACACCCACTCACACACACACACACACACCCATTAGCAGCTAGGCAAGCAGCTGGCTACCCGATTGGCCCGAGTGTCCCGAGTGTCAACGGAAGCCGTCGCCATGTCGGTTAGTTGGCTGCCATCGAAATTCCGGATTTAACAGCAAAGTAACCAAAATGCAATTGTTTTGCAATTGGCATTTTGACCACATTCTGACACCCTGGCCATATGGCCGGCGAGTGTCAACAGCGGCGGCTGCAAATTGCCAAAAACTATATATATACATATGCATATACACATACATATGTGTGCGTGTGTGTGTATGGCACTGCCATGCACAATGCACACTTATGTATGTATGTATATGTATATGAGCCAACCGTACGTATACGTAATTTATTTAGCATTTCAAATGATTTCACTAGTGCCAACTATACTACAAAAAGTATTAGGCCAGAGAGAGAGAGAGGGGGAGGGAGAGAGAGTGAGGGAGAGGTTTCGCACTCTGTCGATATATGCTGAAATGTGCTTAATTGAAAATGAATTTGGTTTTTGGAAAAATTGTTGTTGTTCTTGCTGTTGCTATAGCCAGTTGTTTCTTTTTTTTTCGTTTTCTTTTTCAGATTACTAATTCGGAATGTTTTGCGTTTTATCTGCATTTGACGCCAAGCTGGAAACCAAAGCAATGTTATCGCTATGTGGGCAGTGGGTGTGGCCTGATCGGGCTGGGCTGCTCCCTACACATTTGCATATTTGCATTTGCCATGGCCTGCAGCGCAGACAGGCCATGGGCTCTGTGTGTTATGCTACACCACAGCTGCGTTGTTGTTTACTTAGTGTCGCTGAATCTGGACAGTACGGCATGGATTGGGGCTAAGGTGAATGAGAGGCATGCAGACACACACACACACACACAAGCATAGTGAAATAAAAATACACATATTTGAATTCGACAACGAACGAATTGCCTTTGGTACAGCATCTGACACCGCCTCCTGCTACAGCTCCAACTCCGGCTGTGTCCGGTCTATGGCTCTGTATTTGATGAACGTACCAGCACAATGCAATTGGCCCCTGCATCTGCATCTGTATCTGTAACTGTAACTGCAGATGCAGCTGCAGCTGCAGCTGTAGCTAAAGCTGCCCATGTATCCGTATCTCAATCTGAGTATGCATTTATTTCAAATGGAACAGTTAGATGGACACGGCTGTTGGCTTGAAACCGGGCCTCAATTTGCCGTCATGCATGCAAATTGCACTAATGAGCGTCACAAATTTTGCATAGACAAATGCCTGAACAGCTGCACACATACACATACATACACATATTCATATAGATATATATA